ACAGTTCCTACGTTTACTATACCCACAAAGACCATTACAGTTCCTACATTTACTATACCCACAAAGACCATCACAGTTCCTACATTTACTATAACCGTACCGACCATTACAGTTCCTACGTTTACTATACATACAAACACCATTACAGTTCCTACATTTACTGTACCTACAAAGACCATGACAGTTTCTATGTTTACTATACCCACAAAGACCATTACAGTTCCTACAATCACCATAAACACACCGTGTGGTCCATTTTCTTTCACCATTACAGCTTTTTCGAGCACCAATGGCCAACCTAGCACTGCAGCTTCTTCAAGCACAAAGGGTACTTCAACCACAAAGGTTGCCTCAACTACAAAGAGTGCTTCAACAACAAAGGGTGTTTCAACTACAAAGGGTGCTTCAACTACAAAGAGTGCTTCAACAACAAAGGGTGCTTCAACAACAAAGAGTGCTTCAACAACAAAGGGTGCTTCAACTACAAAGAATGCTTCAACAACAAAGAGTGCTTCAACAACAAAGGGTGCTTCAACTACAAAGGGTGCTTCAACTACAAAGAATGCTTCAACAACAAAGAGTGCTTCAACAACAAAGGGTGCTTCAAGCACTAGAATCATTACGGCTTCAACTACTACTACTATTCATTAATAATAAGCAGTTCAGTAAATCATGCATTGCTGAACCCCAGATTATCCTTGTGTTCAAATTCCTGGTCTTCAACATATTACCATTTTTTCTTGCCTCAATTTGATCGTGATACTGTAATAATCAATTAAAAGACTTCATGCATACAGAATAACTTCAGTGTATTCGAACTTCATCATTTCTCATTCCCAAAACAAACTAACGCTTATTATTGTTCTAATGAATCAATCCATATAAATAAAAATTTTCTTTTAAGGTGTGGGTGGGGATGTGATTATCTGATGTAAAATAATCAATAGCTAGCAAGACTGGTTTCGATTAGAGCTAAATTTAAACTTATCAATTGCTTATGATTGTGTTGAAGAGTATAATTGGTTGTCTAGGGCTATCGGTTGGTTAGCTGAGAATTCTAATTGAATGGAGGGGCCACTGTGTTGTCCTACTTTTGGAGCAGTAGTTTTGAAAGTTATAGAGATTCTATTGTGGAATAATTTTTCATAGAGATTGGCCTTTGTTTGTGGGTGTTTTTTTTCTTTGTCTGTGACTTAGATTTTCCTTATTGCCGTAAGAGTTCGTTTGCACTATGCTGTTTTTTTGAGATTTGTATGTATATTGATAAGTTAGTTGGTACCATTTGTCAGAATCTTATTCTGAAGTAGTATTTTTGGATTTTTTTAATTCAACTGTGAAGTGTTTTGAATTTCTGGATAGATGATTATCTAATTGTCGGAATGTTTCAGATTGGAGCTTTGGATGTTTTCTTCATCGAGGGTTGCTTTATGGAGTTTGGTTTATGAGGTTTGGGTGTGAGTGTGAATAACTGTACAAGAAATACGAAAACCCACATCCACACTCTTCACATCTATTCAACAGAAAAATTCTCAATTCATTTAAATCAAATGAATCAAGTAATAATCCTGTTTATGTATTTTATTTGAAATTATTGTCAAATAAAAAACATGTAGAAACAGTTAGATGTTTATTTATAAAAAAAAATAGAAATAAGCAGAAAATTAAGAAAATAGGAAAATTGTCTTTATTGCTTTAACTAAATAAAATCATTTATTCAATCAATATTCTGGATGATTATTAATATAAAGAGTTTTTTTGTCGATAGAAAAGTCAAATTATTCCAAAGATTGAAATGATAAAAGTAGCTTGACTTTTATTACCGTTACCAGTGGTAGGAGTGGATTTAATGCTAATACTAGGAATATGAGTTAGAACAACAGTAGTTACTTCTTTTGATTCAACATAAAAGCGATATCATGTGTTGATCTTAAATTATGCTATATCACGAGCTCTAGTGCTCAAATAATGTTCACCTAGGGTGTGAGTGTGGGTGTAGAACTTTTCTTTTCTTGTTAAACCGAGACCAACATCCCCACCATACTCCACACCCACATCCTTATCTGCCAAAT